GGAGAGCTGCTTGTTTGGGAAAAAAGGAGCAAAACGTGGGATTTTGTGGCTAAATCACACGTTTTGGACCGGAAAGGGGAGGGGAGGTTGGCCCTGGGTCAAAGCAATGGATCCCAGCTCGTGTCCCCGTGGATCAGCACTGCCTGGGCTCACATCCACACCTTTTTTCCTTGTGGCTTCTCTTTCAATCCCAATCCTGATATAAACACCTCTGTGGAGGGAGATGAGATGTGGCTGAGAGGGCAGAGCAGTGTGAGCTCCTCCCAGGCTGCTCCCAGCCTGCTTTGGAAGCAAATTCCATGTTGCTGCTCTGGATGGAAGTTACAGGCTCTGGCTCTGCAGGGAAATTCCTGCCACTGCTGCCTGCTCTGTGCTCCATCCCTGCGTGTCCCTGCTCCCAAAGACACCTGGAGGAGGAGGAGGCGGCTGCACAGGGATGCTGAGTGTCCTTCCACACCCCTGAGGGATCCCCATCACTGCCCTGCTCCCAGATAAACCAACCCAGACTCCAAAAAACTGGAGCAGCTCGACTGGAGGCAGGGTGGGGGGATGTTCCCAGTCTGGGCCTTTTCCTGCACTGGTAGGAACGAGCTGAGATCCAGGAATCCTGGTTTTCACCCACACTGACCCCCCAGGGGCACGAGGGGCCCTTAAACCACATTTATATATTCTTTTTTTTGCCTTCACTAGAAGGTTTCTGCTCCCAGACAGCAAAAATCGGATGTTTGTCCCTAATTCCTTGGGCCTGCACCTGCAGCTCCCAAAAAAAGTCTGGCTCAGGACTCGGGACCAGTCCCAGCAGGACCAGCAATGGTTGGGGAGAGCAGACACACCATTCCCAGCTGGATCCTGCCCCGAGGGAACAAGGTCAGGCCTGACCTTCTCTAGAACATCCTCAGGTGAAATCAGCTCCTGTGCTGGGCAGGGGCATCATCCCACCCACTGCAGGACGGCTGGGAATGTTCCTCCTGGCTCAGCCTTTGAATTATTCCAGGCACTGGCTGGATAGGAACATATTTCTGCCAGGATAAGGGATGGAGGGTGATTTCCTGGGTGGATGGGGCTGCTCTGTCCATCCCCCAGTGCAGGGACATCAGCACCAAGCAGGGTTTGCCCATTGCTGGAGGCTTTTCCCGACAGCCAGAGCTTTTCCTGCTTCCCTTGGAGAGAAATCTCTGTGAATTTTGCCTTAAAGGAACGAGGCCTGAGTAAATCCAGCATCCCTCTGTATTCCAGGCACTGGAATCAGCAAAAAAAGAGCTGGCTGTCAGCATTGCAGGGCTCTCTCCCTGCCCGGATCTCCCAGAATCCATCCTGGATTCCGCCCCCCCCCCCCCCCCCAGCCCACACCTGGCTCAGGGGGTGCCCACACCTCTCCCAATTTTTTATTTCCTTGAAATTCAGACCAAATAGATACTCTGGAGCTCCGGGAGAGATCCCACCTTCCCCCTCCCTCCCCGTCAGCTGCTTTCTGCCAACCCTGGAGGCATCATGGAGGGAGGAAGGGAAGGAAAGGCAAGGCAAGGCAGCGAAACCAAGCCCGGGCGGGAGGATTTTCCCGGTGTCCCACCTCTCTCCCGGCCGGTGCCCTACTCACCGCTGCCGGTGCTTAGCGAGGAACAAAGCTGATCCCGCCCGAATCCCGGCTCGGCATTCCTCCCGATGGGAGAGACCGCTCAGGAGGCGCAGCCCCTGGATCCGGATGCGGATGGAACGCGGGGCTGCATCCAGGTCGGCTTCTCGCACGGCATCCGTGGCTTTGTGCTTCGCTCGGGAAGGAGGGATGGATTGAGGGCAGTTATTTGTATTCTTCCATGGCTGCTGCTTCCTCTGCCGCCTCCCTCCCCTCCCTTCCCTCCCCTCCCCTCCAAGGTATTTTATTCCGATTTTCCGCCCGCAGCTGGCTAAGCCTCGGCTGCCCTAAGGCAGCTAATTCCCTGCTTTTGTGTGTGTGAGGATGGCGCTGGGGACAGGGAGGGGAGTCTGGAGGAGGGAGGTGGGGACAGGAGCCCGAAGGACCCCCCTGCCAGTGCCAGCGCTCCTCCAATGGGCTGCGAGGCACCGAATCTCTGCCCGCATCCTTCCTCCGGATGGATCCGGCTGGGGCTGCCAGGGGCTGAGCACACCCTCTCCTTGCAGCGGGAGACAGGGATGCCCGTCATCCTGGTCCTGGAGGAGGGGTGGGAGGGATTTTAATGCGGTGCATCATTCCCCGAGGAAGTAAAAGGGGATGCAGGATTTAACGGCCCAGCTCGCAGGGCTGATTTGTCCCCAAACCTCAGGCACTGGGGCCGGGTTCTGGACAGACAGACGTGCCAGAAGGTCCTGCTCATCCCAGGAGGATGAACCCCTGCTCCCAGGATGTCCATAACTGCATCCAGACCCTGAGCCCTGCTGGTTCCTTCGCAAATCTGAAGGTGACTGGAGACACCGGGATTTTCCTCTGCTCCAGACCCGACAGGAAGGGGGAGCCAGGTGGGAATTGGGGTCTGCTCCCAGGGAACAAGGGACAGGACAAGAGGGAATGGCCTCAGGCTGCACCAGGAGAGGTTCAGGTTGGATGTCAGGGAAAGTTTTTGCACTGAAAAGGTTGTCTTCAATAATGCAGACAAGGAAAACATCCCAGGAAGACCAACTGGGAGAGCTGGGGGGGTTCACCTGGAGAAGGGAAGGATCCAGGGACACCTGAGAGCCCCTTCCAGGGCCTAAAGGGGCTCCAAGAAAGCTGGAGAGGGGCTTTGAACAAGGGATGGAGGGACAGGACAAGGGGGAATGGCTTCCCAGTGCCAGAGGGCAGGGATGGATGGGATATTGGGAAGGAATTCTGGGCTTTGAGGGTGGGGAGGGGCTGGGATGGAATTCCTAGAGAAGCTGTGGCTGCTCCATCCCTGGGAGTGTCCAAGGCCAGGTTGGAGCACCCAGGGCTAGTGGGAGGTGTCCCTGCCCATGGCAGGGGATGAGACTGGATGGGCCTTAAGGTCCCTTCCCACCCAAACCATCCTGGGATTCTCTGCTAGAAGCTGACAGAAGATCCAGGGGGACAGGAAATACCAGGAAGTCTGTAGCACCTGATGGCTCCAAAGTTAATTGTCAAAGTCTTCAGGGTCACCTCTGCTGAATATTTGCCTTTTCCCTTCGTTTTTCCATGAAAAATGTTCTTTTCCCGTTTCCCGGAGCATCCCAAGCCTGCCGTGGCAGCACACGTATGGAATGTGAATGCCATCTACTGGCTGCTGTCCCGGGCCTTGGAGCAGGTGTTCCCTGTCCAAACTCCATCCATCTGATCCCGCAGGAATTTCATTGAGCACACAGTGAGTTGGCCCAGCTCTGCCTGCCAGGGACAGCGGATTTGTTGGGACTCCCTTTTCCTCAGGGCTTCCAGGATGTGCACAGCGAGCCCTGCACCCGGCTCCCTTCCCGGCACTGCAATTCCTCTGGGAATTCCGTGCCGAGCCCAGCTCCTGCAGAGTCCTGCCCCTCTGGAGGAGGCAATATCCAGGATCGGGTCCTTCCTGGTGCTGGGTGTTTTCCCAAGCAGCTTTTCCCAGTCTCTCTCCCATCTCCACGTGCTCTTTCCCCTGGAATAACACGTTTCCTGTTCCCTGCCAGTGTGTTTTTCCCACCCTACGAGCCAAACACTCCCGCGAGGGGGAGGATGTGACCCTTTTGGAAAGTCACTGCCTGTCAGTGTGAGCATCCTGCTTTTATTTCCCTGGATTTGGAGCTCGTTTTTAGGCGGTGCCCACTGGGACATTCCGCAAGCCCTGCGGGTCGCAGCGACGCGGATCCCCCCCAGAAATTCCTTTCCTACCTGTATAAACCCGCCACAGGAATCAGTGGCTCGTCCAGCGGTGCCGATGGCTTTGTCATTCCAGCAAATCCAGCTGTTCCCGGCGGCGGCTCCAGCCGGGAGAGCGCGGGATCCACGGGCGATGCGCGGCGCGGGCTCCAGAGGGCCCCGCGCACCAGGAGATGGACGGAGGGAGAATCCCTGCGGATTTTTCCCCACTGGGAAACCAGAAAGGGTAAGTTCACACCCCCCTCCCAGCCTTAAAGACGGGCTGAGGTGTTTCTTGTTTTGTTTTTGTTTTTCCAAAAGCCGGGGTTACAGAATCCCGGAACAGTTTGGGATGGGAGGGATCTCAAAGCTCATCCAGTGCCAACCCTGCCGTGGGCAGGGACACCTCCTGCTATCCCAGGGTGCTCCAACCTGGTCTGGGACAATTCCAGGGATGGGGCAGCCACAGCTTCCCTGGGAATTCCATCCCAGTCCCTCTCCACCCTCACAGGGAGGAATTCCTTCCCAATATCCCATCTATCCCTGCCCTCACTTTGAAGCCATTCCCCTTGTCCTGTCCCTCCATCCCTTGTCCAAAGTCCCTCTCCAACTCTCCTGGAGCCCCTTTAGGCCCTGGAAGGGGCTCTCAGGTGTCTCTGGATCCTTCCCTTCTCCAGGTGAACCCCCCCAGCTTTCCCAGCCTGGTTCCAGCCCTTGGAGCAGCTCCATGTCCTCCTCTGGACTTATTCCAGCAGCTCCACATCCTTATTTTGGGATCTCAGATCTGGAGGCAGCTCTGCAGGTGGGATCTCACCTGAGCTGAGCAGAGGAGCAGAATTCCCCCCTCACCCACTGTGGGATGAGCCCAGGACACGGGTGGATTTCTGGGATGTGAGCCCTTGACCTGGCACTTGGCCTTGTTGATCCTCATGATGTTCCCATGGGCCTCCTCCTCCACCTTGTCCAGGTCCAGGGATTGATCATCTCCAAGGATGGAGACTCCACAACCACCCTGCACAATCTGCTCCAGCATTTGGCCACCCTTCATTAAAAAAAAAAAAAAAAAATATAAAATTTCTCCTCTGTTTAAAGGGAATTTCTCTCTCTCAGCTCCTGCCCTTCCCTCTTATCCCCTTCCTGGGCACCACTGGGAAGAGTCTGGCTCTGATCACTGGAAGCTGAAATTAAGATGAAACATTTGTTTGTAGGGAAAATAAAAGTTATTTTGGTGCCTTTGAAATTATTTACAACTCGAACCAAACAACAACAACAGAAAAGGAGTATTTTGGGGCTGAAAAGCTGCAGGCTTTGTTTGAGATATGCTTGAAATTAAATTTTATTACACTGTGGTGTTCCCCCAATTGAGATCTGCCTGCCTTTAATTAGGAAAGGCAGGGGACCACAAGTGCCTTCAAAGATGAATTTGCAAACAGAGACACGTTTTATTTTGGGGAGAACAAGATGTTTTCATTGTCGCCACTTAAGAAAAAAAAACCTGGTTTGCTGAGGCAAATGGGAAAGGTTTCAGTCTGGGCTGACCCGAAGAGAAAAAAATCCTTCCTCTTCCTGATTTTTTAATTTTGTTTCTAAAGCTGTTTGTGCAGTCCAGGAAGGAAGGACTCGAGGAATTCACCTCAAGGAATCCCTGAAAATGCCCCAAGGCCAGGTTGGAGCAACCTGGGATGGTGGAAAGTGTCCTGCCCGTGGCACAGGGGGGACTGGCTGGGCTTTAAGGTCCCTTCCAACCCAACCCATCCTGGGATGTGGTAAGTCTTTGAAGTGTGGGATTGGGTTGGACCCATTCCTGTTGGAAAACAACAATTGTTGGGATTTTTCCCTCTGCTGGGGCTCAGGGAGGGCTGGGAGGAGGGTTGGGCACCTCAGGCTCAACAAGGGCATGGTCGTGGTCACTGCTCCAGTGCCTGGGCAAGCCTTGATGTCCCTGGGGGCAGAGACACTCCTGAGTCCTGGATAAACACTGGGAATGTTGGACTGGGCTTTGTGAGACAGGTTTGTGCTGGGGATGGATCCTGGGACAGGGAGACCTCGGCTGAGAGCTTGGGATAAACTCCCTGACAGGCCAAGGGCTCGTGGTTCCCTCCCAGCCACTCACAGAAGCACAGAACACCCTGAGCTGGAAGGAACACCCCAAGAATCATCCAGTCCAACCCCAGGAACCCCCAACAATCCCACCCTGTCCCTCAGGGGATCATCCAAACCCTCCTGGAGCTCTGGCAGCCTTGGGGCCGTGCCCACTGCCCTGGGGAGCCTGGGCAGTGCCCAACCACCCTCTGGGGAGGAAGAACCTTTCCCTGAGATCCATCCCAACCCTCCCCTGGCACAGCTCCAGGCATTCCCTGACCCCACAGGGCTCTGCTCCAGGATAAAGCCCCGTGTCCAGCAGTGCCCTGTGGCAGCTCCGTGCTCCTGGAGAAGAAGTTTTGGGATCGAAAATTGACCCCCAAGAGAGAGACAAAGCAGTGGGTGGGGATTATTTCACCCCCCCACACACTTCAGGTTTGAAGCCTTTAGATCAACCCTTGGAAAAGCAGCTGGGACAAATTATGGGCCCTGACCTGGGGCCGGTGTTTATGCCAAAAGAAAGGAGCCATGATAAGAGGCCACCGGGGGGCCTGACCTGCTCCAGGGCTTGTTTACATCTCCTCAAGAGCAAAACTTCCCCCCCTTGGTGGGCGGCAGAAAATCCTCCCCCCCCATCGCCTGTTTGACTTCCCCGGGTGTGAAAAACGTGGGGAGAGACGTCAACAGAGCCAGGAAAGGAGCTTTTGTGGGGTGTTTGTGCTGCCCTGGGGGCTCGGGGAGGGGATTGTTTGGTGTTGTTTGGTGTCCAGGTCGCTGTGGTGAAAACCATCCCGGTGCTTGGCTGCATCCACACCCTCCTGCCTGCCTGGGACCGGCTTTGCAGGAGGCAGAATTTGGAAGTTCCTGGCTGTGTTTTTCCATTTCCCTGGGGTGTGTTCAGCTCCTGGGGTCTCTGTTCCATTCCCAGCCCCTGGCTGGAGAGGGAGGCAGCAGCTGATGGTTGGGGCAGCTGCTCAGAGGGTGGGAGGGGTGGAGGATGTGATGCCACCGGAGCTCGGATCCGCCACTGATCCACGGCCCCAGATGCCACATCCACACATTTATTGGACACTTCCAGGGTTGACACTTCCCCACTGCCCTGGACAGCCTTTGCCAGGCTGGACAACCCTGTCAGTGAAGAAATTTTCCCGATATCCAACCCAACCAAGAAATTCTCCCTAATAACCCACTACTCGAATAATCCAAACTTTCCGCTCGAAGCCACCCGGTGCAAAGTGGATCCTTTCCCTTCAGGAGATGCTTCAGCTCCTGGATTAAGGTAGAGCCTGGGCAGAAGGTGGGTTTGCTCTGGTGTTTTATTATCTAGTCATAAACATTTACTCCTGCTGCTCTTCCCAAGGCAGAGCCTCAGCTCGGTGGTGACAGCAGCATGATAAATCCTGCTTCCAGTTCATGCCCCGCTCCGGGAAGGACATTCCTTGCTTTGGGATTCCCAGGCTGTTGACAGGTCCAGGCTGAACCCCCCTGTGACCTTGACATTGATGTGTGAAGGGTTAATGAGGGCTCTGCTCTGCCTCCCTGCTCCCATCTGCTGATTAATTCCAGCCAGGTGTCCAAGGGCCCAGGTCTTAAAACAACAACAGCTCGAGTGTCTGGGAACACTTAGTCAGGCTTCACTCTGCAATTCCAAGTATGGATAAATATTTGCACCTCTGTGGCTCGAAGACACCTTGGAGATATGGAGGCAGTTGCCTGAGGAGTTCTTTACAAGGGGAAAACCACGGATTTCCTGGGCAGCAGAGGAGGTTCAGCAGCAGGGAGGACTCGTGGGCTCCTCTTGCAGCTCTTCCTGGGTGGTCCTGGGGGAGGTCACGGGGGGTTTTGGGGGCTGCAGGGGGGGGGGTGTCATCCCACAGCACCTCTCAGGGGATCCAAAGGTGCTCCCACTGATGTTTGGCTCCGTAGTTCGTGGGCCTTGGTTGGTTGGTTGGTTGGTTTGCACGAGAAAATGAGGAGGAGAAATGCAGAATCCGGAGATTCCAGATCCAAAGCCCCCCTTTTTTTTTGGGATACCCAGAGGAAAGACCTGGTGTGGCCCAGCAGCCCCAGAAAATCTGTTTGATTCTGTGAGTTCTTATTTGTAATTTAATTGTTGTTTCCTCTTTCCCTATAATCAACCAAAGGTTTCCAGTTCTGACTTTCACCCCTAGGACTGAATTTCTGACTTTCAACAGCAAGGACAACAGAAAAACCAGTGTCTGCCCAGGGAAATCCAGCTTTTCCATGCCTCCTTCCTACCTGGAGACTCCAAGGAGGTCAGTGACCTGCTCTTATTCACGTTTTTAGCATAAAATCAGGTTGGAAAAGACCTCTAAAATCATCAAGTCCAGCTGTTAAGGTTGGAAAAGATCCCCGAGAACATCAAGCCCAACCATCCAATGGTTTTGCTGATGCTCCTCTGAACATTTTTTTTTTATTTTTTTAGTCTTTTCTTTTCTGGGTTTGGGTCTGAAAATGATATGGAGACTTGTGGATCTAAGTCACATCTCACTCCAGGAGGATGCTGGAGCACAACAAACCAAAACCCACCCCGGAGGTTGTGATTGACTCGGTTCAGAGATATCTGGGCTGTAAAATCCTGATTGTTTGGCTAAATAAAGAGCCTCACAAGAGAGCTCTTCCCTCCAGAGTGTGATGGAGTTGCTCTGCCCCTCTGGGGAGTCTGTGGTGTATTAAAACTCCCTTAATAACTTCACAGGCATTTCCACAGTCAAGTGATCATTATAATGCTCATAAAGCACAATCCAGGGCGAAGTATTTATGAATTATTTGACTTCAAGTTGGGAGGGGGGGGGGAAGAATAAAAGAATTAAAAAAAAAAAAAAAGAAGAAGAAAAAAGACCTGGGCTGAATTAATGGCTCTGGGAGAACCATAAATTGAGAGGAATCATATTGCAGAGGGTTATTTTGTGTGTGCAATAAAAAGGAACGTTTATGGCTTTGCGGTGCCTAAATTTGGGTTGGATGTTTTTTTTTTGAAGCAGAGAGCTTTGAAATAACTTATAACTTTTCTCCTCTCATTTCAGAGTTGCCTTGAAGAGAAACACCAGACACGTTGGATTGAGGCATGAGGGGAAGGGGAAGGTGGGAGCGCAGGGAATTCCTGGCCAGGAGCAGGTGAGGAGGGAGAGCGGGTGCCAAGGGAGGTGCTCAGACACTGGGGTTTGGCAGTAAATAGAGGTGATCCCAAATCCCTGCTGTCCAGAGGTGTTCCTGGGTGCTGTTCACCCTCTGCAGGACGTCTGGGAGGTTTGTCTTCCCTCCTTTCCCAACCTGAGGTGATGTTTTTTCCGGGGAGAGGAAGGGGAAGGAGCCAGGGATCCCTGGGGCAGGCACCCAGCAGGGTTCATTCCAGGCCTCTGGAGCAGGAAGAAGGTGGATCCTGCCCTTCAGCAAACTGGGAGAGAACATCCAGCACATCCCTGGGAGGTGTTCACAAGTGACAGGGAATCATTTCCACCTCTGAGGGGGAGGATGTGGCCCACGGGCAGCCCTCGGTGCCAGATGTCAGACCTGCTCCAGTGCATCCACTGCTGCCCCTCCCCGGAGTCCCTGGAGCTGGGAGGGACTGGAGCTGCCAGGAAAGACATCTGATTCAAGCAGCAGGAATGCAGACACCATCCCTCCTTGCTTTTTGAGGGGGTTCTGTTGCTCCTTTGCTACATACCAACACCAGGCAGAGCGACCCGAAGCAACTCGTAAATCCTCGTCCCTGCCAGGACCCGGAGGGTTTTCCTCTCCCTGTCAAACCAAGCAATCAAATCCCCCTCCAACATGCTTTTAATTGGGTAACTGAAGGCTCTAATGTTCCCCTCTGGGACATCTGCTTGCAGGGAGATGCTGGCTCCCATTCCCAGCCTGGAATCACTCCCAGCTCCGGCTCCGTGGCACCCACCTGGGAGCGATCAGGGAGCTGCTGGAAGGAGGCTCTGGATGTGCTCCCTCCATGGCACTGCTGGGTGCTGGGGGTGTCCCCCCCTTCCCTGCTGAACTGTCACAGGTAAGGAGTGAGTCCTGGCTGAGTGGTTGTGAGCTGGTGCTAAAAGCCAGTGGGAATTCCCATGAAACCTCTGGAATAAATCACCCGGGCGTGGAGGCACGTTTGGCTCCTTGCTCTGAAGTTCTGAGGTGCCTGGGCTACAAATACCCACAAAAGGTGGGTATTTCCTTCACAGGGAGTCACAGAACCTTTAAGGCTGGAAAAGACCTCCAAGATCATCAAGCCCAAACACCCCCCCTTGCCCAAATTATTTCGTGAAGCGCCACATCCTCCTGTTTTTGGAACAATTCCAGGCTTGGTGACTCCACCACTTGTCCTGTCCTGGCTCTCCCAGCCCATCCAGCCCTTTCCCTTCTTTTCTCTCTGCTCCCACAGAAGCCCCTGAGCTGGGATAGAGCTGGAATCCCACCAGAACATTCCCACTGCGTGTGGAGAGAGGGGGAGATGCTCCTGTCCTGTGCAGGGCCGGGAGTTGGGCTCGAGGATCCTTGTGGATCCCCTCCAGCTCGGGATATTCAGTAATGATGCTGCTCCTGCTCTTGTCCTGCTCTCCAGCAATATTTCCAGGAGTCTTGCATCCCTTGGGTTCCATCCCAGCCAGGCTGATGATCATTAATTGTATGGGATTTAGCTGTTCCTGACATCCTCAGAAATGTCTAATCCTGTTTTGGAGCTACCTACATTCCTGACCTCTCTACATCCTCCTTTCCTTGGGGATTTTCCCCTTCAGGGTTAAAAATTCATTTTAATGCCCCAAAACCTTCCTGCTGGGGGGAAGGTGCTGCAGTGGGAGCCCAAGGGGTTTTAGGGCAGGTGAACTTTGGGGTTTTTTGGGACTTGGGGGAGTGTGAATCCTCAGTGGGTGTCTGCGAGGGAGAAGGAAGCAACCCTAACCTTAACAAAATTAATATCTGGGAGAAAAGATCTTTGTTTATTCCCATTTGAAATATTTAAGTGCTGATTTCCCCCCCTGCTGTGGGTGGTTTGTGTGCAGGACTCTTCATGGAAAGGGCTGTAAAGCCCTGGAACAGGTTGCCCAGGGCAGTGGTGGAATCCCCATCCCTGGGAATGTCCAAAAAATGTGTGGATGTGGCACTTGAGGATGTGGGTTAACGGTGACCATGGTGGTGGTGCTGGGTTTGATGGTTGGACTCAAAGATTTTAAAGCTCTTTTCCAGCCTTAATGACTCTGGAATTTTAACTCCTCCTTGGGATCTGCTTCCATGAATCCTTGCACCGAGCGTGTGAAGTTGGGATAACACAAAGCCAGACCCCCATGGGGGCTCCTCCACGGCTTCATTGACGAGGGGAACCCAAAATTAACACGGGGCAAGTTGATTTTTCGTGGCTTTGCTGGCTGGAGCTCAGCTTGGAGGACTTTTTAACCTTAAACCAGACGTCTGCAGGTCTGGCTTAAATTACGGCTCCACGGGCCGTCATCGGAGCTTAAAAGGAGCAGGTAATTGTAACATTTTTGAACAATTGCCCAGATGAGATTTTTTTGAAGAAGAAACCTCTGTGAGTGTTCGTGGACACTGAGAGGAAACCAGGAATGCTTTGATTGATGAGTGGGGGCCGGGGATGCCCGGGAAGGAGCAGGTCCTTGGCCAGCCTACAGAGAGCGAGGGAGGCTGGAAAGACCTGCTGACGTGCTTTGTGGTGGGAGAACTGTGATCCTGATCCCTCTCTGATCATCAAACAGGGCCCAAATTCCTTCCTGATGACACGTGAGGGAGCGTGTTACCAGAGCAGCCAGCTGATGGACTTGGGGGGAGAGGGATGTTGTTTTTTGTGCCTCCTGGAGGACTCTGCAGCCCACAGAGCTCGTGATGTTTTATTCCCACTGGAGATGTGGCCACTGAAACACAGAATCGTGGAATGATTTGGGTTGGAAGGGACCTTAAAGCTCATCCAGTCCCACCCTGTGCCAGGGGCAGAAACACCTCCCACTAGACCTGGTGTCCAACCTGGCCTTGAAAGAATTTTTAAGGGGTAAAACAACTTCCTTGTCCAGGGGCAAGGACACCTCCCATTAGACTGGGTGTCCAACCTGGCCTGGAAGGCATTTTTAAGGGGTAAAACAACTTCCCTGTCCATGGGCTTGTGGCACATTTTGCAAAATCACTGCATCCCCCAACCTGGAAGAAAAAAACCCAAACCAGCCCCAAACCACAGCCCTGTGAACAGCAGAGTGTGAAGACAGGGTTGTTTGTGACTGCTCCCTCTTTGACATTTTCCAGGGAGGGGGAAAATAGTGGGAAAGGAGAGACACCATGAGCTGTGTTCTGCTCGGAGTTACCCAAATCTTTACACCCCAGTAAGATGTGACCCTTGAGGGTCTGGTGTCCTTGGGAGCCTCTCCCAGGTTTGGTGCAGAGGCACTGCTGACTACAGGGAGTTCTTGACAGAGTCAGGATCATAAAATCCTGGAATGGTTTGGGTTGGAAGGGTTCTTAAAGCTCATCTTATTCCATAACCCTGCCATGGGTCTGCTAGACCAGGCTCTCCTTGCTAGACCAGGCTCTCCTTGCTGCTCTAATTTCTGCCTTAATCCCTTTCCAAGCAGCCAGGCTGGAATCAGAAGGGTTTGGGGTTGTGCCAGCCCGTGCAAGGAGCTGCCCTGAATCAACTCCCTGGGCAGAGGGACTCGCGTGGGGCTCATAAAACCCCGAGCACCTTCTTGGCAGAGTCACAGTAAATAAGAGTGAGTATTAAAAAAAAAAACTTTTAAAAAATTGGCCTGGTCTCCTGGGAAAGGGGGAGCTCCTGGCCCAGCTCATTCCCTGCAGTGCTGCAGCACTGGAAAAGGGAATTAGGGCTGAACTGGGGGGGAGGAATCCTCAGTGTTTGGATTGATAAAGTAAAGGGGAAATGGCTCTGTGAGGAGGATGGGACAGAGGGTGTTTTGGGCACTGGGAGATGACCTGGACATGTCACTGTGTCCCTGCCATGAGGGTGCTCCAAGCCCTGTCCAACCTGGCCTTGGACATCTCCAGGGATGAAGCAGCCACAGCTTCTCTGGGCAACCTGTGCCAGGGCCTGCCCACCCTCCCAGGGAAGAATTCCTTCCCATATCCCATTTAACCCGGCTCTCTGGCAGTGGGAAGCCATTCCCCCTCGTCCTGGCACTCCAGGTCGGTGTCAAACTGGGCTGGTGGCACAGATCTCTGTGATCCAGCCTGGCAGGATGCTCATGGAGCAGGGAGGCTCCTGCCAAAGCTGCCTTTGCCTGGCAAACGTTTGACGCCTCTCCGAGGGGGTGCTGGTGCATCCAGGATGTTTCCATAACTCAGGCACCAAAAATAAGAGAAGACAAAAATAATCCCCAATAAAAACTCGCCTCCTAAAAGCAATAAATAACCCTGAGCAGATGCTGGCTGCTCTTAACCCAGTTTTCTACCAGCAGGCCTGGGAGGGAAAACACCAACTCCATCTTGCTGGGAAATGGGGCTTCAGCTTCATCCAGTTTTTGGCCTCCCAAATCCAGCAGAGCTCTCCAGGAGCAGGACATCCATGGACAGCACCACGGCACAGGTGAGCTCCCTGCCCAAGGGCACCTCTCCAGCCTCAGGGTTCTGCTGGAAGGGGAAGTTTTGCTCTGGAATAACCAATTTTGACTCCCTCTTCCCCGTGGCTGCCACAGCGGCGCCTTTTGAGCTCTGTGAAGTGGGTTCATGGGGAAAAGCCTCCTGCAGCTCATTTTAAGCAGGGAATCACAGCATGGTTTGGGCTGGAAGGGACCTTAAACTCATCTCTTCCCACTCCTTGCCACGGGCAGGGACACCTTCCACCATCCCAGGTTGCTCCAACCTGGCCTTGGACACTTCCAGGGATGGGACTTCTCTGGACAACCCGTGCCAGGGCCTCCCCACCCTCACACCAAGAGGATTTTTGGGCTTTGCATCCCACTTGGGTTGGGACTCACGGGATGTTACAGCCCTTGGGGTGTCCCAGATCCAGCTGGACCCTCCGTGCCCGAGGAGGAGAAACCTGTGGGAAGCTGGTTGAGCAGAGTGGGCTGTGCTGTCCTTGCTCCCACTGGGAGACACTAGGGTGGGCTCCAACTCCCCCAGAATTTAGTGGCCCCTTTTGGGTCTCCATCTGGAGCCGATGGAAGGGGATCCCTGTTCACAGTAAAAGTGTTTCTGGAGGGGTGCCCTCGCCAGAGTAAATTGTTGGCAGCCACGGGCTGATCCTCTCTTCATAAACAAAGGGAAGGAGATAAAAGCAGCAGCAGCAGCAGCAGCTCGAGCTGCCTCCACCTCCCCCCCGGAGCATCCCGGAACACCCACCCCACATCTGGAGCTCATCGGGGGCAGGACGGGGATGGGAACCAGCTGAGCCTTCCTCCAGAGTGTGGTCCTCGGGAGGGAGCCCAGGCAGGGCCCAGTTTGGGCTGGAAGCCTGGCTCAGAGCCGGGGTGGCCCGGGGAATCCCGGGGTGGGAGCGTTGGCTCTGCAGGGCCAGCAGTTGGACTTGTTGATCCTCGTGGGTCCCTCCCTGCTCAGGATGTTCCATGAGGGGGAAAAGTGAGGTGGTTTAAAGGTGAACCAGCAGGGGAAATGAACCCAACTCAAAGGAGAGATTATAAATCAGAATAACAATTTCATAAAATAATACAATAAGTATGATTATACAGACAAACAGTTTGTTTTAACCCACAAAACCCAAATGTATAACTCAGCACCCTGGGGCATGAACAGAGTGGTGTTCTTTGGGCCCCCTGAGTCCAAAGTAAAAGGAGAGGGGAAAAACCTGTTGGTGAGAGTGGTGGTCTCAGTCTGGTTGAGAGTGGTGGTCTCAGTCTGGTTGAGAGTGGTGGTCTCAGTCCTTCTCTGAATCCCACCAGTGGTTAAAAAAGTCCCAAGACTCCAAGATTATATATCCTCAGGTTCAGGCAGGAATGCCCAGTGCCTCCCTCAGGGCGGGGAGTTCCACACTGGGTGTGAGGACAGGAGCACCCTCCTGTCTCCCAGGCCTCTGAACACCCAGTTTATGGCCTGAGGAGTCAGGGCTGCTCTGGGCAGAGGGTGTAAATGGTCTGTTGATAACAGTTTCTGGGCAATGGCATGGAAGGCTGTAGAATGCCCAGTTTTGGGTTACACCCATGCAGTGATGAACTGGTCCCAGCTGTTCTAACTAGGACAAGAAGTGAGGTGGCCCTCATGTATTTTTGCTGGCCAAAGCAGCTCCATGTGTCCTCCTGGCCACATTCCTCCCTCCCACCCAGCAGTGGCCAAACACTGGGAAAATGTGCTGCTTTTTAGACCTCATGTGTGTGTCCTGAATTTTGCCCCATCCCTGGCACAAGCCCTGCTTGGGCTTGGGGATCTTGGAGGTCTTTTCCAACCTTCTGATCCTACAATCAGGGTGTTTCCCACAGCCTCTAGAAGGAGGTGATCTGGAAATCTTGGAGCAGGCACCTCGAACTTCAGGAGTTTGTTATCAGCAAGGCCAGTTTGAACCCATTTTTTTGCAGCCAAATTGCAGATGGATTTCTCAGTGCAGAAAGATTTTAGAGAGTAAGGGAGGAAAAAAAAAAAAGCCCTGCGTGGCCACACTGGAAATGTTTGTATTTTCCATTTGCAAGAGGAACATTTCCCAGTTTGGGGGTTGGAAGCCAGTTCTGCTGAGAAACTCGAGGACAGCGTGGAACAATTAAAAAAATAAACAGGAAAACAGCCCAATTTGCTGCAGTGAATTAATTTATTTCGGGATGAAGTGTCTTGAAATAAATGAAGCGGAGCCCCCTGGTTGGCTCCAAATGAGATCTCAGGAAGCTGCTTGTCTGCTCCATCTTCCCCTTCTAGACCCTTCCCTTGGCTTTTCTTGGGGGAAAAAAAATATAGATGTTGTGTTTACAGGGGGTCACTGCCCAAATCTGCTTTCTCCTGGCAAGCTGAGTGTGCAGCCGGACACCTGCAATCTCCAGGGAGCAGCTCATCCAAAGGATGCTTTGGGAAGGTGTGGCTGGTGTCTGGTAAGTCCCAGCCTTCCTCTTCTCTGTTTTGGGTCATGATTTCACCCCTGGGGGGGGGCTGGGACGTGTCTTTGCAGCCCCTGAGACCTCGGGGGGTCCCTGCCAGGGGCTCCAACGTGAGCCCTGAGGGAGCTCAGGGAGCTGGTGGGATGTGCTGTGGGGGGGATGGAAAGCTGCTGCTGGAGGTCACCTCTGCCTCAGCCACTCCTCACCCCCATCAGCCCTTATTGGGGTGCCTGGACCCCACATTTGAGCCTCAACTCACCAAACCTCATGGAAACAACTGTAATTTTGTCTCCTGCCCCCATCCTAAACGTTTTTCAGCCCTTGGCCATTGTTTGAGGGTTATTTTTTGGGGGTGGAGGCCGACAGCAGACAACTGACAAATCCCCCTTAATCCACCTGAGCTGATAAATCTCTTGGTAAATCCCTCCCCGGCGCTGCTCCCCTCCAACAAACCTCCTTGGCACCATCCATCAGTGTCTCCAGCCCCTGGGTGCCTCCTGGGCCCTGTCTGGGCAGGGAAAGCCTCTCATTTATAAAACTTGGGGACCTCCCACAGCTTCCCCGCGACCCCAGCCAGGGGGTCAGTGCACTGAGTAAACTGGTTGAGGGGGCAGGTCCTCCTATTTACGTGGAAAGCCATTAGCAGGGAATCTCTTATCTCCTCCCTGTTGGAGGTGGAGGTTTGGGGTGATGGAAGGGCCTTGGGCAGCGTTGGAGCTGCCCCTGGAATGCCCCAACACGCTCTGCTTTGCCCTCCACGCTCCTGGCTGGGTTTTACAGCAGGTTCTCAAAGTCATGGCATGAGAGCAAAGGGTGCCCCTGGTTCTGTGAGGCCGAGAAAAGCACATTCCTGGAGCCAGGAGTGTGGTTGCTCCCTCTTTTCTGCTCCTCTATCCAAGCCCAGCACGGGAAAATGTTCCTGTTGGCCACATCCCAGTTTGGGATCATTCCTGTGCACCAGGAATGATCCCTTTTAAGCCCAGGCCCTCCCTCACCTCACCCACCAGGGATGTCTCCACATTCCCAAGGAGCTTTTGTTCAGTTTAAGGACCCGGATCTGTTGGGATTGTTTGTGCCAAGATGGATTTTGGAGGTGTTGCTTTTTTTTTGCAGTCACTGCAACCCAACCCTGACACCATCACATGGCGATTACTAAATCCTGAGAAATGTGGGATCTTGGCTCTTGACCTGGGAAAAGAGTTGATGATTTCAAGGAATGGGCAGGACAGGGACAGCTGGGGGGAGCAGAGCACTCTGTGTTGGGCTGGGAGCAGGGAAGGGAGCACAAGTTTTCTTAGGAAACACAGTTCTTTGTTGAATTTCCAGATATATTTGGGCATGTTGGAGACACACACCATTGCTGATTCCCAAAAAATAACCGGGAAGAACTCTGGATCACTTCAGTGCTATGTGTGAACACGGGTGGTTCAGCTCTGGGTGCAGCATGAGTAGCTGTTGGGGTGTTTTTCCGTGTTCTCCAGAGGGAAATACCACTTTCTTAGGAATACAAACAGCTCCCAACCTTCCTGCACCACTCCCTGCCTCTCTCCTGGGGGCTGGAATGTCTAGGGAGCAGCAGTGGGGCTGCTGGTTTAGGCTCCCCAAGGAGCCAGACCCGTGCCAAGGGGTGGTGTTGCCCTCCATGAGGGCCTGAAATCCTGGAAAAGGCACAGGATCTGTGGGATAATACAGAGCAAAACCATGGGGGCAGTCTGGGGAGAGACAGTGGGGATGAGGTCTGGCCCACTCCAGGGGTCTGAGGGGAAGCAGGTTTTGGGGGACTTCTGGTGCTCAGGGCTCCCATCCCAGTCTCCCTGCTGACATCCAAGGGCTCTGGATTGATAAATTGGTTTTTAATGGCTGCATCTTTCTGCCCTGCTGTTGCTGGGCTGTGTCACGAGCCTTGGGGACCAGGAACCCACTGCTGGATGCCAACCAGGGCACGTGGTTACACGAGGAGGCCCAACCAACACTCTCAGCATCCTGGGACCTGTTGTTTGTTGGGGGTTTGGGCCCCTCCCATCTCCCTGATCCCATTCCCTGGTGTTGGAAACCCACACCTGAAACTCAGCAGGGTGAGAGCTGCTTTTAACATTTCTTTTATGCCTGCAGGGAAAAAGGCACCATCGTCATGTTTGTACCTCCCCAACCTACCCACTGAAGTGTTTAGGATTCCCACTGGATCCGCTTTGCCTCTGGATGATCATCTCCCAAAACATCTCTGCTCTCGGAAAGCCTCAACAGAATGTTCTGCAAGAGCTGAGCAGGGAGCAGTTGGAGACCACAGCTGTGAGTGGCCGGGCAGAGCTCCCTGGTGAGTCTTCACAAAGGAATTCTGCTTTCCTCCCACTGCTGTCCCTCTTTGCAGCCTCCCCGGAGCCACTGGAGCAGGGAAGGGCTGTGCTATTCCCTGGTAGACTCTGCAGAAGCTTTTTAAAGGAGTTGGAGGGACACACAGAGATCTTTTTTTCAGTTAATTTTAATACAAATGTTAAGCTCCTTGATTCCAGCAGAGATCCACTGTGAGCCATATTCCCTATCCCCTTGGAGCCTGCCTTTTTTTTTTGGGATAGGGTGACTGATTAGGTAAATGCTGGAGCCCTGGGCTATGGATTTGATTCCCGTGCTCCCTGTGCAGTGGGTAACAGAGCCAGGACACAGGTCTGAACACCCCCCTCTCCTCTGACACACACCTTGGCCCGTGTCAGACGTGCAGCCCTTCAAACACCACCTAGAACTGGGCCAAGGATGGCCCAGGGTGGAGACTGTTCCCAGCAAAAAGCCTGGATGTGGCTGCAGTTGAGGGAGAGGTGCCAGGGATGGGAGCCAAGCTGGGTCATTTGGCTCCAGGGACACCAAGAGTCTCTGGCCTGTTGGTTTAGTGACATCCATGAATCCTCTGTGTTTGCAGATCCACCGGGGTGGACCGACGGTGCTCTGAGGGTGAATGGTCTCACCTGTCCAACTGCCACGGAATCCCAGGATCACTGAGGCTGGAAAAGATCTCCACGACCATGGAGTGCCCCCTGTGCCCCGTCCCCACCTTGTCCCCCAGCCCAGAGCACTGAGGGCCACATCCAGTCATTCCTCAGACACCTCCAGGGCTGGGGACTCCAAACCTCCCTGGGCAGCCCCTTCCAGTGCCTGAGCGCCCTTTTCCATGAGGAAATTCCCTCTAATATCCAACCTGAACCTCTCCTGGCACATCCTGGGGCTGTGTCCTCTTGTCCTTTCACCTGCAGCGTTGACAGAGGGAGCTCAGCCCTCGCCCTTCCCCACCCTCACCCGGGGGAGACCTCGGCACCCAAAGCTCCGCCGGCTCGGGAGCAGCAGGAACCAGGAAGCTCCTCCAAAACAAAGCATTATTTGTCTTCAGATTTCGTGATTATTTCACTCGTCATAAAACAATAACTCTTCCTTGTCATCCATGTTCAGTCCTGCCAAGTCCATTCCGTCCTGTCCCCGCTCCAATCTCCCGCCACCTTCGGGCCGGAGCGATCCCTCCCCACGTGTCACGTCTGGAACAGTTCTCAGCCCACAGCTTTGTGGCCCTTTTCCACGGCTTCCCCAGGCTCATTTGTTTCATTTGCATTAATTAACCCTGCCCAGCTCAAGCTCCTCAAGGCCCTGGTGTTCAGGGGCACGAAACTCTGGAATTTTCAATCCTGGCCCGAAGCCTCTTTGGTGCTCCATGAATAAATAAATTTTTTAAAAATTTAATTAATTAAATAAAAATTAATTAATTAAATATCAAACAAACAAATAAAATTAATTAATTAATTTAAATAAATAAATAAATATTAAATAAATAAATTTTTGTATAAATATATAATTTATTATATATAAAAATAAAACTTGTATATGCATATTAAAATACACCCATAGAAGACATATATAAGAATATGTAAACCAGTGTATCTATATTTAAATTTAAAGAACACACATATTTTTTAGACTGCTCTATGCAGATCTATATATACTGTACAGAAGTAAAAAAAATGCATATTTATATGCTGGATGTACTGTGGCATTTTATATGTGTATAAATTATACAGATAGAAAAATGTACACATATAAAATCTACATAAGCTCTGTATGGTATTTTATATGGATGTAAATTGTATATTTGCAAAAATTATGTATAGATACAAAAATAAATTATACAAAAATATACATGTGTAAAACTAGACATTAAAACTAGACTAGAATATAAAATTTATATACTGTATCTGTTAATTTATATGTATATTAAATATATACATATATAGTATATATGTATATATGCTATAGATATTAATCTAGCATATATATATCATTTATTTATATACCATTTATTTATTTATATAGTATATATTTATATAGCATATATTTATAGTGTATCTATAGACTTTATATAATATGCATTTATATTTATATAGCATTTATTTATTTATTTAATATATATTCATGTATTTATGTAGCATATATTTATGGTGTATCTATACACATTTATATTATATGTATTTATATTGATTTATTTATAATATGTTTATTTGTATAGTATATATTTATATATTTATGTGGCATATATTTATAGTGTATCTATAGACTTATTTATATTTATATTATAGATTTATATTTATTTATACACAAGATGGTTATTTATATAGTATATATTTATATATTTATGTGGTATATATTTATAGTGTATCTATAGACTTATTTATATTTCTATTAGATGTATTTCTATTATATATATTTATATTATGGTGGCCAAAACAAAATGGTGGCCAAACCAAGATGGCGACCAAACCAAGATGGCGACCAAACCAAGATGGCGACCAAAACAAGATGGCGACCAAAACAAGATGGCGGCTCCTGTGGGCAAAGGCCTCCCAGGCCTGGTGTCTCTGTGGGAGAACCAGGATCCACCACCAAATACTGGGGGAGGAACCACCTCTTGCTTGAGGGATTTTTGGATCCATTGCCAATATTGGGGGAAAAAAAATCACCTCTTGGCTGAGGAATTTCTGGATCCGCTGCCGAAGAGGAATCACCACCTCGACGGTTTGGGGTTGGGTTTTTTCTGAAGACTTGCAAACTCCACACTCGTCTCCACTTTCGTTCCATGTTTTCTGGTTGGATGTCAGGCTGGGTTTATATTCCCCTCGTTTTTTCCTTACTGGGAAGTCACTTGGAGAAGCTCCAACTGGTTTTTCTTACTGGGAAGTAATTTTGAGAAGCTCCAAGTGAGCGAGGGGGGTTGAACACTCCAAGAATCCCATTTCCTGCCTTATTCCCTTTTCCACGGCAGGATGACCACAGGGATCCAGAACATCACCTGGGAGCTGGAATTTTTAAGCTGGGGCTTAAATGAAAACCCTTGACTTAAAGCAACAAAAATTTGCCACTTACACCATGGAAGTCGCCAGCTCACACCTCATCTCCAAGAAATCACACCCCAAATCATCCCTGATCCCAGCCCAGCTCATCCCAACTTCACATTTTTTTTCCCTGCAACCGCTGTTTTCATTCTGATTTATTTTCCTTTGTGCTCAGATTTTCCAAGCAGCCTTTTTTTTTTTTTTCCCCTTTCGGTCATTAAACCACATTTTTTGTCCTTTTTTTTTTTTTTTTAAATATTTATTTATTCATTTTTGGACTGGCTGGCAGCGGGATTTGGGCTTTCCTTTGGGTTCCTTCTCCCAGAGATTTATGACTCTCCAAAGATTCTTCCTAAAATATTTACAAAAGCGGGAATGTTTGACTCGGCCGAGGCTGTCAGGACTCTGGGTGGCACGAGGGGGGAATATAAACAGACCTTTTTTTCCATTCCCAAAAAACCACGATAAACCTTTCCTTCTTTTTGTCTCTTCCCCCCTCTGGTTGTTCCCTGTTATCCGGTGCCAAGCCCCTGAAATTTTTTTTTCTTTGCCTGAAATGGGGGGGTTTTCCAAGACATCCGGGAATTCTCGTGTGGGCACGGGGTGGTTTGAGCCTATTTTTGAGTGAATAATAAAATAAATCATATTTTTCTGGCTGGGGATGGTGTGTTGAAGGACGGGATTCGGGATTGGGGCATTTCCTTGCGCCTTAAATGCCAAAATAAGTGTTAAATGGGGGTGATGGGTCTTAAAAGGGGTAATAGGGTGTTAATTGGGGGTAATTGCTGTTAATTAGGGGTAATCGGTGTGTTAGCTGGGGGTGGCACGTGTTAAATTGGGACGATGCACCTTTAATCCTATTAATTTATGGGATGGGGTCAAACGCTGCTGAAATGGGGCTCAAACAGGTTGGCTCTGCCTCCTCTCCCGGGGGAATCTCCTGGGAACCGGGAACAGGGAGAAGGGGCTGGGGTGGGACCGGGGGGGTGGGACTGGGGATGGGAGACTGGAAACGGCAACATTTCACCCCAAAAAAAAGACTGAGCCCCAGCACCGACCCGAGGGGCAGAACGGTGAGAGCCCAGCTGGGCCTGGGAGGTGTTTTCCTTGTAAAATAAAATAAAATAAAATAAAATAATAAAATAAAATAAAATAAAAAATAATAAAATAAAATTAAAAAAATAAAATATAAAATAAAATAAAATATAAAATAAAATAAAATAAAATAAAATGGGTTTTTGACCACGGAGCTGCTGCCCCAGGAGCAAGTGGAACTGTTCTTCTGGGCCGATCTTATCAAAACCTTTTTTTCCCTATTTTTCTTTTTGTTTTCCTCCTTTTTTTCCTTTTCTTTTTTTCTTCTTTTCTTTGTTTTTCTCCTTTTTTTCTTTTTCTTCTTCTCTTTCTCCTCTTCTTTTCTTTTCTTTTTCTTTTTCTTTTTCTTTTTCTTTTTCTTTTTCTTTCTTTTTTCTTTTTCTTTTTCTTTTCTTTTCTTTTATATTTATATTTATATTTAGTTTTTATTTTTATTTTATTTTTCTTTTATCTTTTCTTTTTCTTTTCCTTTTTTTTCTTTTTCTTTTCCTTTTTCTTTTTCTCATCTTCTTTTCCTTTCCCTTTTTTATTTTTATTTTTTTCTCCTCTTTTTTTCCTTTCCCTTTTTATTTTTCTCTCTTTCCCTTTCCCTTTCCCTTTCCCTTCCACGTGATTTTCCCAGAATTGTCTCACCTTTGACCCAACCCAACTGGAAGCTCCTTTCCCCAAAATTCCCCAAATTCCCCTTTTCCTTGCCCATCCCCATCCCGGGAGAGGAGGGCGGGGCCGAACATCCCTCAACCCCCACGAACGACAATTCCCAGCGAAAAATCCACGGAATCCTCTTTTTATTTCCACTTGGAACAGCTCACACCCGAGTTCCGCTTTGTTTAACAAAAATAATATCAAACAGCTTTTTTTTTATTATTATTATTATTTATTATTTCCCTCCCCCCACCCCTCCAAAATTCGGAATAAATGGTACAACAAAAGTCACCTGCCCTCGGACCAGCGGGGTCAATAAATAACGTACAAAAGGGAGAGGGAGGGGCCAAAATAAATAACATAAGTTAATTCAAATAAAGAGAGGATAAAAAATACAGATGCATTGCATCCACTTCTGAAGCCGGGCACGGGGCCCGACAATTCCGGCAGGAAAACGGGATAATCCGGGCTGGGCTGAGGGAGTCTTGCTCCCAGCACGGGAACAAGGTTCATGCTTGCCTTTCCCCAATCGGGCGAAAGTGGTGGCCTCGGTGGGGGGTACCAAGGGGACGGAGGGTTTATTTTGTCCGGGAGCCTGGGTTTGGGTGTATTTTTCCAGTGTGAGGCCAGTCAACAGAGTGGGCCCTTCTTTCCTTTTTTCTCTTCACCCTTTTTTCCTTTCCCCTTTTTTCCTTTCCCTCCTTTTTCCCTTCCCTCCTTTTTTCTTTCCCTCTTTTCCTTTCCCCCATTTTCTTTCTCCCCCTTTTTTATCTTTTTCCCTTTTTTCTTTTTTCCCTTTCATCCTTTCCCCCTTTTTTGCATTTCCCCCTTTTTCCTTCTTCCTCCCTTTTCCCTTCTTTTCATTTCCTTTTAACCCTTTCTTCCTTCCCCCTTTTTCCTTCCCTCCTTTCTCCCTTCTCCCCTTTTTTCATTTTCCCCTTTCATAACTCTTTTTTATTTTCCTCTTTCTCCTCTCTCCCCTTTTTTCTTTCCCCCTTTTCCCCTTTTTT